TGCAGCCGTAGAGCAGCGCTGGGGTAGGTGCAGCATCTCTCCAAGTGTCCCTCTTACGCTCTTTTCCTGTCCTATGCTGGACTGGTTTAGGATATAGGACTATAAACAAGCACACAGCTCGGTCAGAAGTTCCTTTCACTGCCAGTTTGAAAGAGCCACTCAGGTCCAGACTACATGCTGGATTTCAGTGATGAGGGAAGCTGCAAGAAGAGGGGCCCAGTTTAGATGGAAAAGGGGGAGCAGGTAGGATGTAAAATCCTGTTGAAAGAGGTAACTGGTTAAATGTTAAGTTTAACCTGTTAACCAGGCTCCCGGAGGTGGGAGGGCCGCTCAGCCCAGGCTGGCTAGAGTGGCCCCCTTCCCTACCCACGATGTGGTGCACTGCACCCGGCCAGGCAGGAGCAGCCCCCTACAACATGGGTGGGGGGCAGCTCCAGCCCAGCCGGGCCTGCCACGTCGTGGGCTGCTCTACGCAGGCTGGGCGAGCCCACTGCTGGCAGAGGGCTGCTCAGGCCTGCCACACTGCCCCGTGCTATGGGTGAGGGGCTGCTTCGACCAGGTTCTCTGCGGCGCACTATGGGTAGGGGGCTTCTCCAGCCTAGCCAGGCCACTGGTTAACAGCTTACATGGTAAACATCACTTGGTAAGCATGAGTGAATTAAGTACAGAACCAGCAGCCAAAACCCCCTCACCTCTCCACATTCTTCACTACTCCATCTGTTAAAAGTGAATACGCACCTCACGCAGCTGTTTGGGACCAGTGGTCCCTGTAAGCTGAGTGACTGGGCAGCTGCCCAGGGGAGATTCAGGTGCCACCCAGCTCATTAGCAGCATGCACGCAGCCAGCAGCTTGTGTTTCTAGTGGCAATGCACATCTGCACTAAGGATGTTAAGAATCGTTTATTTCATTAATCGAATAGTTGATGCATTTTTGCATCGACTGCAGAAGGCCCGATTTGAGACCATCTGAGTTCCGACCCCCCGCACTTACAACCATTTTTATAAGTGCAGAAAGGGCCAAAACCACCCAACTTCCATCCTGGGCCTGCATTTACGACGGTGCACAGCGCCTATCCTAAATGAGGATTCAAGTTACGACACCCCCAACTTGCGATGCTTTCCCAGGAATGGATCGCATCGCAAGTCAGGGGCCTCCTGTATTCGATTAGTTGATAAGGCGGCATTTCAAAGGGGCAGCACCGCACGGCTGATACGGGGCTTAGTGCCACACAGAGCCTGGGGTCAGCTGGGGACTCCAGCTGTCCCTGGGCTTCGTGCGGTGCTGCCCCTTTGGAACGTCGTTGCAGCATTTCAAAGGGACAGCGCCACACAGCTGATCCTGGGCTTATCAGTACACGAAGCCCGGACTCAGCTAGGGACTCCCCAGGCTCCCTGTGGCACTGCCGCTTTGAAGTACCCCCTTCACTGCCTCTATCTGATAAGAGGCAGCAAGCTGGGGGGGGGGGGGGGGAAAGAGAGGGGGGGGAGCGACCAGTTGACTATCCTGTCAACTATCCGATAAGCATTTGCTTTTCAGATAGTCGACTAGTCCTTAACATCCCTTATCTGCACATACCTCCGTGCATGTAAAATTTATTCCACACATGGATGAGAAAAGAGGGAACATTGTTTGAGAGTACACAAAATTTAAGGATACAGACCTTCATTCCTGCACTTGTTCCCATACCAGAGACCCGACTCTCAGCCAGATCCTTGATGACAGTATTGCTTACTTGGAGTGGGAGCCATATAGCAACTCTTTGAGCTCTCTTTCTCCACTCTGACACAAGAAATATGGAGAATGATGGAGGTCTTCCCTATCATTCCAGCTCCAACATGTTCCCCTTTAAGCTAATTGCCTTTTTAACCCATCAATTTCCATTGGAGTTGCCATTCTAATCTACCCAAACTCATCTCCTCCACTCTCTGAAATGTTTAATCCCATTATATAGAGGAAAAATCATAGCTCCTGATCGCTGGAATCTGTCTTTAATGAGCCAGCAACTTGCTTTGCATGTCATCAGAGGTATGTAGTAATGTTAACGAATCAGAACATGATATGTAAATGAGTGCATTGTTACTGGCTGTGAGTTCCAAGACAGTAGTTTACTTTCCAGATATGGGGTGTGTCTAGACTACTGAGTTTTGTCGACAAAAGTGGACTTTTGTCGACAAAACTATACCTGCGTCTACACTACCGCTGAGTTCTGTAGACATAACGTCGACAGAACTCAGCAGTTTTGTCGACGCTGGTAAACCTCATTCTACGAGGCATAACGCCTTTTGTCAACAGAGTTCTGTCGACAGAAGGTGTTATTGCCTGTAGGGTTGCATCTAGACTACAGGGTTTTGTCGACAAAGCAGCTTGCTTTGTCGACAAAACTGAATGTGTCTAGACGCTCTATGTCGACAGAAGTTTTGTCGACAGTATCTGTCGACAAAACTTCCGTCGACAAAACCCTGTAGTCTAGACGTACCCATGGAGTGAAATCCCCACTTTAGAATAATAGCTTCAAAGGAAATACTTTTAAAAACAACTAGTGCCCTGTAGCACCTTGGAGACTAACAAAAAACTATAGATAGTATCATGAGTTTTCGTGAGCAAAACCCACTTCCTCAGATGAGCAGAGTGGAGAGAAAATTCAGGGCTACAGCAAAAGTTGAATATTCTAGTGTGATGAGTGAGAGGGGAACTATACTTTTCTGGACATCCCAGCCATTCAGTTAACTACATTGCCTGTAAGGGTTAAACCCAATGACAGTGAGCTCTAGGCTACGTCTACGGTGGCAGCTTCTTGCACAAGAACTCTTTTGTGGAAGAGTTCTTGTGCAAAAACTCTTCCACAAGAGAGCATCTACACTGCCATGTGCTTTTGCAAGAAAGCTCTGATGGCCATTTTAACCATAGGGGTTTCCTGCGCAAGAAATTCATGTTGCCGGTCTACACTGGCCTCTTCTGGAAGAGCTCTTGCACAAGAGGGATCATTCCTCATGGGGAGAGGAATAACTCTTCCGGAAGAAGCCCTATTTTACAACTCTGTACTGTAAATTTACTTCAGGAAGAACGCTCGTGCAGTGTAGACAGTCGGCAAGTTTTTTGCGGAAGAACTACTGTTCTTCCACAAGAAGCTACCAGGGTAGACATAACCCTAGAGTCTCTAGGAATTGTTGGCAGGGAGCCAGAAGAGCCAATGCAAACAGTGTCGCTTTTTTAATTGAAAAGCAGGGCCTCCCTGCTGCAGTCTTTTGTGTGATCAGAGATGAGCTGGGATAGATGAGTTAAGCCAGAAACAAGGCATGGAATTTCCAGTGTTATCCAGGCCTCAGGAAGGACTAAACCTTGGAACAACAGATATATGAGTAAATCAGGGAATGTTTAGTCAGATGCAATCAGGCTATTTCCTTTATTTTGGAGTTTGTTGAACTCCTCTGTGCTTATGTACCTCCCTCCCCTATACACTGTAAATTTTAACTGAATCCCAGGGAAACAAATCTCTGTGTTCTTAATCTGCCTTTTTTCAGTTGCTCTGTAACAGCTAACAATCAAGCATGCTTTACCAAGTATGTTGTTTGTTAAATCCCCTTTTTAAGACTATGATCCGAATCCTGGGTCCCAGGCAGGAGGTTCTGTGTGCATGTGCCTGAGACTGAAAGGTCAACTATTAAGATATTTCAGTTTGTTTTCAAGCTCTCTCCAGAGGGAGGGTTAAAAAACTTGGGATTACTCCACAGGAAGAAATTCCCAAGTGTGTCTTTCTGGGTTCTCAAAGGGTTTTTTGCATTTGGGTGGTGGCAGCATACCACCCAAGGTCAAGGAATCTGTGACCTACAGAAGTTTTTAAGCAGAAGCCTTTAGTGGTAGAGTATTTGCAGAAGCCTTTAGTGCCAGGGTATTTAAAAGTCTCTTGCACAGGTCTGCACAACATGCGGCTCGCAGGGGCTAACTGTGCAGCCCATGACCAGGACTGGATTAAGGGGCAGGCTAGGTGGGCAGCTGCCCGGGGTGCCAACCTCTGGGGGGGGTGAAAACACCCCAGAACCCAGAGTCGCTCTGCCACGCAGTGCACGCCTGCTGCGCTGCCGCGTGGACAGGACTCCCCAACCCCGGGTCTCCCCTGCCCGCCATGGGGGGCAGAGAGACTGGGAGCACACTGGGGCCGGGCTCGCACTGTGCCGTGTGCCTGCCCAGCCAGGGGATTGCCCCGGTCTGCCTGGACCCCGTGCCCAAGGCATTCTCAGCCGAGCGCCGAGGCGCTGCTTCCAGGCGCCTGCTGCTGCACAAGTCCCAGATCCCGGTGGGGGGAATGAGAGGAGAGAGGGAGCAGAAGCAGCATCTCCGCTCCCCACCTCTGCTCCTCAGTGCGGAGGGGGGTCTGGAGTAGGGAGAGGGGGGAGGGCTGGCCGCTCCCCGCCGCCTGGAGCTGAGATGGAGGGAGTGGGCGCCCCCTTTTCCCAACACTGCCCCTTAATCCTCTCACGCTTCTCCCGGTGGCGAGGCCGCAGGCAAGGGGAAGGGATGAGCACTCTGTATTCATAAATAAAAATTAAAATAATTTAAAAAACTGTGTGATGTAATTGAAAAATTCTTAATAAAGTATCAGCCCCCAACCTACTCTTGCAGCCTGCAGCGGTTTTCTTTGGAGTAATATGGCCCTCGCCGCTTTCCGAGTTGTGCAGGCCTGCTCTTGCAGATGCCCACCTTCTGCACTCGAAGCGACAGAGTGGGAAACAACCTTCATAGCTAACAATATCTCAAAATACTTTGAATGTACAAAAACATAATATATCCACTGAATGTGTTTACTGAAGATCTGATGTTCTCCAACATAAATATTGGCCTTAGGCTCACCCTGACCAGGAAGTCTTTATATTCTGCTCAAGAACAGCCGCTATTTATTATTTAATATGAAATTTGGGGAAGCGAAAGAGATTTTTGCTTTCTTTTTGAAGATAAATGTTTATTTCTCATCATGTATACTATACATAAAGAGGCGCACAGGTGTAATCAGCAAAGCTTTATTTATGTTGCGGTCAATGCACAAATATGCAATACATCCCTTTGTTTCACAAATTTTGCAAAATAGTCCTGAGGATGACCAGCACTTTGTGGGTTGACCACCACTTAAAATCAGCACGTTAAATCAGTGAAAGGAAAAAGGCAGAACGGTGTATTATAAAGTACATGACATTAAAAAAAATTTAATTCCACTCAAGATTTTACTTTATAACCAAACACTGTCTATTGTCACGACACTGCTTGGCCAGTTTGTATATGTGTCTGAACAAACAGAAAACAAAAGAATATAACACAAGACTCCAGAGGAGTGTCATCGTATTGCTTTTGTCAAGTCCTGAGTTATCTATGTGAAGTAACAACATTTATTCTGAACTCTCAAAGACAGATACTTTTGGAGTCTGATTCCAAAAGCTAAAATAGCAATCTCATCCTCCTTATTCAATCTCCATTCCAACTCCTAGCGTGTCTGACATCATTATCAGTCTCATGTATTAAAATAAGGGACATGGTCAAAATAAAAATTTATGAGAGAGAAAATGTCTTATGTGCATTATTACCATCTTAAGATGCATTTAACTTTTAATAATCTAAGTCAAATTTACTTTTCACCCTTTCTTTTGCATCCAACTCAAACACGGACAATGAAGTCAGACAGGTGAATCTGACTGTCTGTTTTTTGTGTGCTAGCATGACGTAGTTATTTATGGCTTTCCAATGCCACGGAGAAAGGTTTAATAAACAACCCCATATTGCAATGGAAACATAACTGCTCACTCTAAAGTATTTCATTAAAGTAGTTCCATTCATATGAATCTTTGTAAAAGGCCATAAATCCCTAATGCTAAATTCAGGCTCTAGCACCATTTTAATCCTGCAGTCTATGGGCCATTTCAGACTAAAGCTTTCTCTAGCCCAGGTATTTCAATCACTAGTAACTGCAGGTCCAGTTACAATAAACCAATAACACAAGTGCAAAAATAAGAAGATATGGAGATAATGACTCTAATAAACACAAGGGATTGAAAGTGCAGATAAACATATTAACTCACCAGCCTTATAGAAACTTCTTTTTTGGAGGTTGCATAAATCATCCTCAAAGTCTATGAGGGTGTAGTCCAAAGGAAACCTAATGCATTCATTGGCTTTTACACCCTTCAGGATTAGCTTTTAAGTTATAACCTTTAGGCCAGTTCTGCCTCTACTGTTGAGTTTTGGAGAACAAGATAGCCCCACACCCTAACTCTTCTCATAACAAATTTCACCCTGCTCCCCATCACAGGGAACAGCACCTGTCCAAGTTGTCAGTCAGGCCTATGAGCTAGAGGACTTGAGAAAACCCCTTAAGAGGGGAAACATTTTTGCAGACAGCTCCAAAGCCACAATCATTTAGCTGTTGTACAAAGGAACTACTCTAGCAATCTCCTGCCTACAAATAGGGCATTTCTTTGGATCTGGAAGTGCCTGGTAGCACTCATCACATGAGCAGACATGCCCACACTCTAGAAAGACACAGGACTTAATGTTACTCAGACAGATGACACAGGCATTTTTTGTAGTCTCCCCACCCTCTGTGTTCATGTCATTCCTTAGCTGCTCCTGAGTCTTCCTGAATTCATCTTGTATCTGTTTCAGGCGCTGCTTTTCTCGAAGCTGCCGGTACTGCTTCCTCAGAATGAAGAAGAGCGTGGCACAGGTTGCAAAGCCGAAAATGACAGTCAGGATTTTCCAGAGTTTGACACTTGATTCTTGCTTCTTCAGCAAGGAATCAAAATCCAGGCTGCTCAGATAATACTGCATCCCCTGCTTGGGGGGCTGCAACTTGATAGTGTTGTTGTCTAGGACCAACTCTCCTATTCCCGTTAATGTTGTTCCAACCTTCAGCATTTCTTCAGTTTCTTGAATGCCTTTGGGACGTTCTCCGCTAATGTAATGGCCAATCACATCCGTGAAGGATTGAATAGAGGGATGGAACTTTTCGTATACCGTCTCCAAGCTAAGTTCTGCAGAATCCAGGGGCTTTACCACCCTTACTGTGATGTTGGCACCGTCCTCGTGAGGCACTAAGTCAAAGGGTGTTGTGTTGGTTCTCTGGTGGATGATCTTTTCACAGTCATTCCTGGGGGAAGATAAGTGAGTGAGAAATAAAGCAAATCCAGGCATATACATTTTGCCATCAGCTGGAACATGTGATAAAGAAAAACTCAAGCCACTTTCCCCTAATTAAGGACTAGTGGTGAAATAGGTGTTCAATCTGCTTTGTTGTAAACACTCCATCTACCTCGAGACAACTTGTTTACAGTTGCCCACATGCAGCATTGCCAGATTCTGCTTGTTTCCATCCATGTGGTTTTTTTCCTACCAAAAATACTAACATGACATGCACATCATGCACCTGCACATGCACAAAGAAGTCCAAAGGGCTGTATGTGGCCTGCGGGTTGCAGGTTACCCACCACTATTTTTAAACTATGTCTATTTTGAAGGTGCATGTACTTGTCATGGGTACTTTTTAGTAAGATTTAATATCTTCTGTCCCTCTATTATTCTATGAGTCTTAAAAAGTTGTTAAAACACACACTGAAAGTTGACTAATTCTATCCACAGCCAGGGGAAAAAAATCTTTATCAGCATTTAACGCTACATAAGTTAAATCAACAAAGCTTCCTTCCTCTCACATACTTGCAATAGCACACTACAGTGTTGTTAAGCTCAACTAATCAATGTCTGCAAAGAACTTTAAGATCCCTAGGCAAAAGGTGGTAAAGTAGTACAAAATATTACATTCACTGCCCCTGGAAAAAGGACCTTAATGCTATTAATGCCACTGAAACTTTCTGCAGTATTTGGCCCTCTTGGAAACACCCTCCTTTTCATTAGATTACAACCAACTGGATTATTGAACCAAGCACTGGTACTACTTGAATCCTGTTTATCACATGTCTTAGCAAAAGTGTCTCTAGGTCAAAATAACTCTAAAGCTGTTTCTTTCTGTAGCAGTGTTGCCTGGGGTTCTCAGTAAGCCCCCATTTTAAATGCATACACTTCTGCTTAGCTCCATTACAAGGAAGCAGACACTGTACTTCCGTTGGCATGAAAATGACACTCAGACATATCGAATTCCATCTAATCTTCCAAATAGGTGTCCAACTTTGACAAAATGTTATGCAGCAAGAAACACTGCATGGCATACAAGCAATTTTAATAAATGTAACCCGATTAAGTGGGGCTTTGTTTAGGCTCAGAAAGCAGAGCAATGATCCGGTTTCAGCAGGTTCAATTGACAATGCGACTTCCTATTCCTTCTCCAGGTACTGAGTCAGGGAGTCATGTTCTCACAGATCTTATCATTTGAATTATATTTGTAGGTCTATTATTAAGAACTTATTTTAACATCTGGAGAATATTGCCAGGTTGCAACCATTGTTCAAACTAAACAATTTACAGCTGCTGACAAATGCTTTTAAACTTGCTAGCTTGAATTAGTATAATTACCTATGTTCACAGTACAGGCAGTCCCCGGGTTACGTACAAGATAGGGACTGTAGGTTTGTTCTTAAGTTGAATCTGTATGTAAGTCGGAACTGGCGTCCAGATTCAGCCGCTGCTGAAACTGATCAGTTTCAACAGCGGCTGAATCTGGACACCAGTTCTGACTTACATACAGATTCAACTTAAGACCCCCAAGTCAGCTGCTGCTGAAACTGATCAGCAGCTGATTCCAGGAAGCCCGGGGCAGAGCAACTCTGCCTGGGGCTTCCTGT